CCTATCCAAGTGAAGAGGCTTCAAAATTATCTGTAACCGGAAGCTGCCAGAGGTGCACTGGTGTATGCTGAGGAGCTAGGGGATGGGTAACTGGAGGTACTGGCCACTGTGTTGGTAGTTTATGAGGTGCTGTTCTATGCTTGGCCCCTGAGCATAGAACATCCAAGGATCAACATCCATAGGATATCTGGAAGTCATCTGTGTAGAGGTGACTGCTCTGGGAAGGGCTGGTTGAGAGGTGATGAAGCCCCATGGTTCTCAGGAAGAGCCTCACCTATAAATGACTGCTTTCGCCAGTTGCATATCTTCCAAGGACTGGCACAGGTGCAGCAGTGTTTTCAACTCTTCCTTCAAGATGAGTTTGTTCTGGGTCAACTTCTCCTCCAAGTTTTTGAAATAGAGTTCTGGAAGAAAGCACAGGGTGGTGGCAATCAGGTTGGATGGGACTGTAAGGGGGCTGACCTCAGGGAGAGGAAGCTAGCCATAGCTCACTGCAAAGAGGGACCAGAGGCATTTCTGTCATGGCTTCCCTAGAGAAGTGGGTGCTGATGACGGTCTGTAAGGCACACTGTGTCATAGAAAATTCTGGGTCACCTTCCACCCCAGTCTCTGGAAAACACAAACTGAGGGGGTAGCAGTGCCTCTGGTATTATTTGGGTGATGCTCAGGCACACTCAAGTTTGGAGAAGTACTAGTCCAGCCCTAATAAATCAAACTACAAATGACTCATGAAAAGATAAAGTGTGGCCAGGCCCTCAAACTATCAATGAGCAGGATGTCAAGAAGCAGGAAAATGTACATTCATGATGGATTTAGGCAGTAGTTAGATCATGTGATTAGGACTAGTCTGTGTTCCTGCACGTGAGTCAGCTCCTCTTCAATCCCCGTGGCCTGTCTGTCCTTACTGTGCTGCAAGGAAGTCACATGATGAGCAGAGACAATTTTAAAAAAAGAGAAAGAAAACAAAAATAAAGGCAAAATCCACCACAAACAACCACACCTCTAAACACTAGCAATCTTTAGTGACAGGATCATTTTCAGGTCAGCGCTGTCTATGATGTCTCTGCCTGCACTGATGGGAATCTCTGGGGTGGAGTTTCTATGGGAATACAGTTCCTCAATACTGTTGTGAGACACAGTGCAGGAAGCCAAAGGCAGGGTTACTGTCAGTTCAGGAGTTGCCTAGGATTTGTTACTAGGCCCAGAGCTTTGAAGCGATGTGTTGATATACACTTGTGACACAAGAACAAGAGCAAAGTCACTCTGTTCTCAGCGTCTGAGAAAATCCCCATATGGTTAGTGACCAATCTAAGGGCAGACCTAGGTCCTGCCACTTACATGCTCTGGGAAGACCCTTGTCTGTGAGACACTAGTCCTCATGCACAAAGCCAGGACTATGATGCCTACACCTCACAGGATTACATGAGGGTATGGACAGAGAGCATGTGGCCCGAGCCCTGCTGTATCATCACCGGAAAGAAATGGCACTAAACACCTCATTTCCATCCTGGCCCTGTTTGAAGTTACCAATCCAATTTTAGAGATTTCTAAGCAATTTCTCAGCTAAAAGATTTCAAAGCAAAGATTTTGCATCCTGCACCTCTTAATGGTTAACCCAGTAAATCTAAAACTTTTTTTTAAAATGTGAATTAGGACTTCATAGTTTGACTTTCAGGTATTTACCACATGATCACCGTCAAGAGCGATGTGTCTCTCGCACACAGCTACAGCTCCTCCCTAGGGGTTTAAAGTCTACCCAGGAAGACAGGTTACTTTGTAGAAACAGCACGTGAACAAAACCAACGAAGTCCGAAGAGTCGCATTTTGACATCTGTTGTGACTGTGAGCAGGACAGATAAAGTTTCCTGGAAGTGGAGGAATATCAGCGAATGCAGTGATGGAAAAGTCTGTACCAAGTGTGGTATGTGACGGAGTGACACTGTGGGTTCCTAAAATGACGGAGTGGTGGCAGGATTGTGTAAGTGTCTGACAGCGCAGTAGATGGAGCTGACCTTTAGACTGCAGCTCGAATATGTTCACAGCTGTCACGGCTTTAGAAGACCACAGCAATTAGACAGAACAGACAGCAGCAGGGAGTCCTTCCTATACAAACCTCAGAGAGCCCCAAAATACCCAAGATAAAAAGACAAGCCTGGGGACCGGAGATGGCTAAATGGGTGAGAGCACTTGCTACTGTTGCAGAGGGCTCAGGTTCAGTACCCAGGGTCTACATGGCAGCTAACAACTCTCTGTGACTCCAGAGAACTCAGTGCACCCTTCTGGCCTCAGCACTGCAAACTCATAGTACATACATGCAAGCAAAACACCATACACATAAAATTAAACAAATCTTTAAAATATATATATATATATATATATATATATATATATATATATATATATGAAAAGTGAGAAACCTTCAGTCAACCAACAGTGAGTGTATTCAAGTGCAGATACGAGCATTCTCCCTGACTGTGACGGCTTGTCCCTGAAGAGCAGTGAGAAGGACCAGGATGGGAGGGATGGAGGCATGAGAAGTGTCAGTCAGCTGCTCAGCAGGATCTGGCAGTGAGGGGAAGGAGTGTTGGGCGTGTATCTGAAGAATTCCATTAATCTCAGTGGTGTCCTTACGTTTTTTAGTGCTTTTTACATTTTAAAATATTTTAATTATTTGCATGCATGCACATCAGCACATAGGTTTGTGCACACTTCTGCCCGCAGAGACCAGAAGAGTGCATCAGATGAGTTGAAGCTGGACTGTTCTTGTATGTCACCCAGTGTGAGTGCTAGGAACCAAACTCAGGTTCTCTGGAATAACAGCAGGCGCTCTTAACTCCAGAAATATCACTCAAAAGTAGGGAAAAAAAATATAATGACCTTCAACTGCCAATCAGCCTTAACAAATGCCAAGTTTGCTAAGTTTGATTCTTTTATGTACCCTAAACACAGTGGGCTTTTCAAAGTAAATCCCTGATTCTACAGTGAAAAATGCCAAATGCACGACCACACCATGGTCTCGCTGACCTCCAATTATATCACAGGTCTATGTTTCACCAAGACTTAACCAACATTTGAAAGCCAGTCACTTGGATTCTTGAACAATATAGTCTATTCAAATCTGCTGCCTTTCCAATTTTATCTCTATCGATCTCCCAATTGATGCTGATGCTGGCCCTCAAATCATATTCTGAGTGGTACAGATCCAGAGGACTGGCTACAGGGCTAATTTCACTATTTCCCTGGGGTCCTGGGGCAGGGTTAAAAGAAGAACTGTAGACTTTAAGTAGCAGTGTATGAGATGAATGGTAGACTGGGAAACTAAGCAAATGATCACTTTCCTATGAGATAGGTCTTGAAAGAATGAATAGAGACAAAGAAGAAAAATGAATGGCAAACAATGAAAGAATTAATAAAACAGATAACATTACCTTTGGTGCCAGAAAGGTTATATGCAACAGCCATCTTCTTATGTTGAAATTCCTTTAATTTCATAACGCTATCTGTGAGTAGGTATCTTTTAGCTAAAAATTAGAAAAAAAAAAAAGTCATTTTGATTGCTTGCCCCTCTCCCCCTAGCAAATAAGAGCTTGGTTGCTTCTAAACGATCCATCCAGATAGGTGCAAATATTATAGTATCCCTGGCAGAGAAACAAACATCTCCAGTCAACTACTGAATGCAAATCTTGGTACATCTTACATTTGAAAGGAGGTAGGGATTGATGGAGTGTGAAGACTGGTTGATGAGATATGAAGAACAAATGGGCATTTGTCATCTAGTCAGGGGCTAGCAATGCACAGACACACCACACACACACACTTTTGCTTGGTTTATTTTGGGAGAAGCACGAGATATTGGGAAAAGCTACATCGTGACTTCCAGTTTTGAAACCTGTGCACTGAAGAAAGCCTTTCAGATCTGGTCTCAGTAGCCTTAAATCAGAAATCACTGGCCACAGCCTTAGCAAGTCTGGAATGTATCCTTCTTCTGTATCGTTAGCTGTACATGAGATAAAAACGTATGAACTGTGCACTGAGATCTGATACGAAAAGTAGTAACAAAAATAGTTGCTTATGGAAAGGCAGTCCTCTGAAGCTGTCAGACCCAGGTCTTTAGTTCAAATACTGCATCTGCCAGCTCTCTGTGACCTTGAACAAGTGACAACCTTGTCTACTTCCTATTCTGTAAATGAAGAAGGGTACCTCTGTCACTGGATGCTGACTGAAGGAAATGTGTGTGTATGTATGTGTGCATATATGCATGTATATGTATATACATATATATATACATATATATACATATATATACATATATATACATATATATATATATATATATATATATATATATATATATATGTGTGTGTGTGTGTGTGTGTATCACATTACGTCAATAGCAGTCACGCGTTTAATATTTTCAGAAAGGCGGTAAGGAATAATCTGGGGGATGAGGCCGCCTGCCTCGAGTCTTAGACTATAAGGAGCACAGCTTGGGTTCCCATTTCTTAAACTCCGTACCAAAACCTTGCAGAAAAGGAAACCCAACGACTGAGATATGTTCTCAAAGAGCAACTTGGACCTTTGCGAGTCCAGACTCTAGCTGCCCTTTGCTTTCCAGGCACCGAGCGGAGGGGTTCACAGCCCCAAGCAAACCCGGGTGCTCACGCGGGCAGCTATAGGGAAAAGGCGCACGAGCCTTCTCCAAAGAGAGAGGCCGCTGTGGTCTCACGCCCCCTTCTCTTCCACCCTCCCTCCTTCCAGGCGTGCGGCCGCGGGTACCTCCAAGAGTGCAGCGGCAGCAGGCGGAGCCTGAGCCCGTCACCCCGGGATGCAGCGAAGGACGCGGCGCCCGCAGGCGTTCCAAAGGCCGAAATATTGCAGCCATGTTGTTCCGGGCCAGACCGCACCATCTGCGGGACCCCGGCAGGGGGAAACGCCCAAGGTGGTCCGTCCACTTCCGGCGGAGGCGGGCTCTGTTCCGCCTCTGCGCCTGACCCCCGGGCCGGCGTCCCACTTGGTACGCTCCAAAATGGCGGCCCCCATGGTGCGGTGTGGGATGCTCCTGGCTCGGAGAATATCCGCGTCTCGCCTTTCCCTGGCAGGTTGGTGGCTGCTGCCTTGGAGCTGCAGCTCCAATAGGCCTCTCAGCACGCTCTTTATTGAGTGAAGGGATCGATTGACTTCCAGGAAGAGCATAAATGCTTTTGGGGTCCGGTTGTTAGAGAAGCTATTTAGGGTATTGGTAGCACAGAAAGGAAGAATAACTAACTCATCTCCTTTAAGGCTGGTACCCGCTAATCCAAACTTTTGAAACAGAGGAAGGCTGTGATATGAGGTTCTGCGTATGTCTTGCAAGTTTCATGTATTAAGCTAGTAGGTATTTTGGTGATCATGAAAAACCCGAATATGTTCACTCCGTGGCCCAGAACAGTTTTCTTACAATGCGATTTCTTTGGAGAGTCATCAGGCAAAAGTTTTACCTCACTGCCTCGTACTTGATGACCCGAGCCCTTGGTCTTCATCTCCTGAAAGAATTTTTCAATACTAGCCTCATTTTACCTGGTGACCTTGATCACAACTTCTGCCTGACATTTTTTTGTTACAGTTTTCCACAAGTAGGTAAACAAGCAGAGCGCTTTGATGTCTGGGGTTGAATCGCGCATCACTCAAAGCCTTTTTAGTGGACCTCATGGTGAAAATATGTTTTAAAGTATTTGCAAAAGCCAAGTTTGTAGTGGCTACAACCTCATAATCCTTGAAGAGGTGCCAGATTCCAGGAGTAGAATGAACTAACCACACTTGGTTGTTCAGTGCTGCTTAGTTTAAATCACACGCTCTTACTTAACACCAATTACAAAAAGAAAAGCAATACACACTTGCTCACACTACTAAGTGTACAGCCAATTAAAAGCTTCATAGTTGGCCTCAAGAGTTTTCTAAAGTGTTTGAACTACCTGGTAAGAAGGTTGCATATCACACATTTGGCAAATGGATATGGACAATATTTGGCACTAAACTAATAATGCTCTGTAGAGCTGCTTAGCATATTTAATTGTGATTAATAGTAATTCTTTGAAGTCTAGTAAGACCCAATCTAATAGATAAAGGAGAGTACATTAGTTGCTTATAATGTCTGGGATAACTATTCTAACCAAGAAATGGAAATTCATAGAGCAACCTGAGAGAACCTTTACTTTGGCAGTTTGGTTTCAGTTTAAACTAGCAAACTTATGGTAAGCTATTCCAACACGGAAGCTGCTAGTACTTGTAGCTATTTAAATTTAAGTTGAAGATAAATAAGATTAAAAACTAAGTTTCTTAGTGGCAGTTGGTATTTTATGTGTTCAGTGGACCTATGTAGCTGGTGGCTTTTGTCCTGGACAACTTAAGAATATAACATTTTCATTTCTACAGAAAGTTTTTTGGACACTGCATTAGACCACTGGTGGAGGCTCTAGGAAGGCGATATAAGTACATGGGATAGATTTGGATATGTGTATAAATCCCCTGATTCAAGTACTCAGCTTGTACAAATTCATGACAGATGAGTCAGTCAGTATATGCAACACTTTAAGACTTCTAAACAGTCTACTTAAAATAGGATGAAAGAGTACAGCTAAAATGATAAAAAAGATGGAAGAAAAAAGAACTGAAATAGAGCAACAACAAAAGACAGGAAAGGACAGGGGAAGGAAGCTTACTGGGTACCGTAATTACTAGACAAGGAGACACCAGTGAGCCTTACTACCATGCTGCTAGGTGGTATTCCCTCATTTTGTGTATAATGAAAGAGATTCAGAGATGTTGTATGATCTGCCCAATTTTCGTAGCATTTATTAGCAACGCAAGGGCTAAAAGTTAAGTTGTGCTGCTAAAGCTTGTCTAGTTCCACGATCACATTATTTCCTTATTTTAAAAATAAACACAAACAAACAAAATGCTTGGAGACATTTGATTAAAGGCCCAAATAGAGCCAGATGTGGTGATACACGACTTTAATTCCAACCCTCAAGAGGCCACCCTGAGGCCTCTTGAATTCAAGAATTTCAATAGAAATTCTAGATAGTCAGATCTGAGTTCAAGACCACCCTGGTCTCCAAGGGAGTTACAGAACAGCCAGGGCTACCCAGGAAAACCTTGTTTCCAAAAAACAAGCAAAAAGGCTGGAGTAACAAGAAAATGTATAAGGCTGTAGGAACAAATATGTTTTTCACCCAATGTGAAGTTCTGGTCCTTCAAAGTAGTACGGAATTCCATGGAGAAACATTTCTTTTTACTGAAGATACTTATTTTACAGAATATTGTTGCTCTGGGGTAATTGGTCTAAGGGTAATCAGTTTGGGAAAAATTTAAACACTCTAATTTTAGAGCCAGGGTCTCACTATGTAGGTCTGGTTGGCTAGAAACTGAGTAGAGCAGGTTGGCCTTGGATTTACAGACACTCCAGCCTGGCTAAGCAAAGTTTTTGAATGGCCTGGCATGAGGGATTGGGGAGCCTGAGACCTGAGCCTGTGAGTCTGAAGTCTGCCTTTTACTCATTCAGATGTGGTTTGAGCATTTTAAATACTGTTGCCAGGTTACTTGTCAGATAACCAGCATCTTTCTGCACTCTAGGCCTACCAAGGGACTATCTGCATTTTAATGAGAATCATATGCATACTAAAGTTTAAGTCTGATCTAGATTTTCCACTTTGTTTCTGGTCCTTCTCCTTTCATCCTTTGCCCCTGGCATAGAAATTCTTTGGTTGTAACATTACTATACAGAACCTCAGTTTGTGCACAGCGATGGAAAAACCTTTAATCTTTATAACACGCACAAAGCATCATAGAAAGATGAGTGTGCTATTTTATTTTACTTAAAAGAAAGTATGTTTGTGTGTGTGTATGCATGCATGCACATGTTCGTATGAATGCATGTATATAGAGGCTAAAAATCAAAGTTAGGTGTCATCTCCAGTCACTCTTCAGTGACGTAAAACTCAGGTTGCAATCCTTGTGTGGTCTGTTATGGTCACTGGGTATCTGCCTTTTATTTTAGAGTTCTTGCCTTTCTCTTGATATAGAATTCACATGCCGTACAACTCACTCATTGAAAGTACACAGTTGTGTGACTTTCAGTGTTGTGCAAGCATTTTTCCAACCAACTCAGGATATTTTTATCACACTCTATCTCTTGTTGCCAGTCACTCTTAATCCCTCAATCCGAAATTCTCAGTTCTAGGTGACATGTGGCCTACTTCCTCTTTAGATTTCTCTATTCTGATGCTTCATGTAAGTAGGACATAATTTGAGGCTGGTATCTTTCACTTAACATAATGTTTTCCAGATTCTTATTTTTAAATTGCTAAAATTGTCAAATGGAAATGTTTTCAGAATTGATAACTGTAACACATCCAGTTAATGACTTAGCATAGTTTGACAGGCTATTTGGGATCTAAAGACGTTAGGACTCTGAAAAGCTGAGCTGTCACTTAAGAGTATAAGTGACTTTCAGTGTTAACGTTAGAAGATGAGAAGGACCAGCTTGTCCGCCTGTGGAACTGTTGTGGAGCTTCTCTGAGTTGGCTGTGAACTGTGCAGGAGTCATTATAGTATCACGTTTGAATTTTAAAGATACATAAGCCGGTAGTTGCAAATGCAGCAGAAGTCGTGTTCAGTAAAAATCTGTGAAACATGCCTGTTGAGCTGATTGTCTTTCCCTCAGGTAAAAGATGCCTGCTTTCTGCAGCGTACGTGGACAGCCACCAGTGGGAAGCCAGAGAGAAGGAGCAGTACCATCTGGGTAAGTTCTGCCATACACTGTCGTTTTCGGTCACTCCACATACCTCGTATCGTGCGCTCACATGATGCATGCATAAAAGATACCTCTATGGTGACGCATCTTATAGAAGTATATTTAAGTCTTAAAAAGAGTTACATCCACACATGGAGGCTCACCGTTGCTGTTCCCTGTGTTCCTAAAGCTGTCTTTGTTATCTCCCCTGATGATGCACTAGTGAGGCTGTGAAACTGTTCCTTCTTGCTTTTTGTCCACTGCACTGTAGTGTCCATGCAGCTTGCCTCTGTTTTACAGTGTCATTGCCAGGTGACAGACTTGGAAGCAAATTTTCAATCTCATGGAAGCTGCAGAAAGATAGTGAGTGTCTTCCCAGCAGTAAGCTCAGAGAACCTCTGCTTCCCTTGTTCCTTGTTTCGAAGTTCACAGAGAGCAAGCAGCCTTCCTTGCATAAATTACCTAGGCCTAAAAGAAGTCACTGATCCCACAAGCACATTTCCAAATGTGCAAGCACTGTCCTGACACTGGGGAGTGAGTCGATAGGTGATGGGCTCTGAGACTCTAGTGCTATGTACCTGAACCCCTGGGCATCCCCACACCCACACATCCCCACCACCACCTCCACGTGCCCATCATCACAGTTTCTCTGTGCTTGAGTTAGATAAGAGCAAAGTCCTCCTCTGATGGATTCTTCTGGAAGTGCAGGAGGTAGCTGATGATTGTGGCTACCTTTAGGATGCTTCAGAACTATCGTGGTCTCCTTTGAGAATGTGAGTTTTAGAGATGGCCAGCAGCTCAGGAATGCGTGTGTGTACAGCAGCTCAGGAATGCATGTGTGTACAGCAGCTCAGGAATGCGTGTGTGTGTACAGCAGCTCAGGAATGTGTGTGTGTACAGCAGCTCAGGAATGCGTGTGACCATGGCCAGCCACAGCAGAGCTGGGCAGGTTCTGAAGGTGAGTGGTCAAGCCCTCCACAGGGAACTTAAAGTCTGACTCACTTTTAAGGGTTGGCACACCCTTTTAATCCAACACTTTAATCTGGAGATTAAATTCAGAGCTAATACACTTTTCTAAACATAACCCTTTAAAATTTATATAGTTTCCATGCCATAAAACAGAAACAAAAATGAAGTAATATGGTGTACAGTAGTGTTTTGAAAAGTAATGAAGTATTTTGGCCTCACTGAGGCTTAGGAAGTCACTACACACTTTCATTTTTCATGTCCAGCCCTGACCCACAGGACAACGGGTGTGGGCACACATGTACTGTGCTGGCGAAGTCAGACATCACACGCGTACCTGAGTGACACTTGTATTTTAAAAATGAACAGTTTTGGTAAAGGTCTAGGTAACCCAAGGTCTCTTTTCAGTCCGTTTTTATTGAAGAATGCATCAATGAAAAAGTCCAGCTTAGTTTTAAGTATGAAAGCAGTACTTTGTATTTGTGTGTTGAAATGAAATTAGTTCCATTAATTAGAAACAGGTTTTAAAGTGATAAAAATGTCTCTCACTGAACTTGGAGGTGACCTGGCCACCAACAAATCTAAGCAAACTTCCCACCTCACCTCCCAGGAATGGGGTGATTGGCCTGCACCCAACCATTCTAGACTGAGATGTGGGTGCTGGGGACTCACACCCAGTTTTCACACCCAAGCAGCAGGCGTTCTTCCTCGATTTCCCATACCCTCAGGCCTGGAAGTAGTTTTCAACTGACAAAAAATTATGAGTTCCTCTCTGCCCTTTGCCCATATTCACTTTTTTATTTCATCTTGATGTGTTTATTTTTGTTTTCTCTTTCTGGTGTGTGTGTGTGTGTGTGTGTGTGTGTGTATGAGATCTATTATGTCCCTATCAGAGTGCACATGCTGTTTTTAACTGTCTTAAATTCGTCAGTATGTACACATGTCATCTACCATAGCACATTTATTGAGTTTATTCATTAATACTTTTTTCATGTTCTTTTGTCACTTGACTTCAAAATGTCCCTTATCAATTTTTTTTCCTTCTCTAATACAGGATGCATTCCAGGTTCATGTTGCATTTAAATCAAGTCTTCTTACGTTGAAATTATTCCTTATCCTTTTTTATTTCTTGTGACTGCCTTACTTTTCTTATGATTTGATCTCAGTTTTGCCTCCCCATGCAGACTACTCTGTGGTGACATGACCCCGTCTGGGTTTCTGAAGTGGCCACCGCTGGTTGGTGTCTCCGTGCCTCCACTACGCATGCCAGCTCCGGTCTCCTAGTCACATGCATCTGAGCTCTCAGCTGCAGCCACACTGGCCGATCTTCTTGACTTGTAGGGAGATCCTTAACATAGTGATGATTTCCTGCTGCGTCTCAAGTTTTTCTTTTACATTTTTCCATTACAAGTTTTTTTCCATCCATGCTTCTGGCCTGAGTCAGTCTATCCTGTAAAGGTTGCAGAGTGACGATTCTCCACCTCCCATGACCCCTGCGTATTTACTTGTTGGCACCAGTGTTCCCCTTAGGCAGCCGACCTGGCCTCCTCTTCTGTTTCCTTTTCTCTTAGCAGTGGTCATAAGTTATGTAGACATTTGTTAATTGGTGGGATTGCTGTCGTTATTTGGAGTCCAGTGTCCCATGCTGCCTGGCTAATATAAATGCTTCCCAGTTATTCCCGGTTCCCAGAAGTTTCCACCTTCTCTTTCTCACCACTTGCTTGCTTTTTTCATTTAACAGTGTGTTCTAGGCTTATTGCCTTCCCCTCCCTAGCCTAGGCTCAGCCCTTCCTTGGGAACTCTTGTTCCTTTTAATAGGGCATGAATGGTATTAGGAACAGGAGCTTGGTGTTCGATGCCATTGATTCTTACCCAATAGCTCCGATTCCCATATGTCTGCATGGGGCTGTTCCTGGCCGTGCTGTGGAGTCCATTCCATGGTTAGAGCTTGGTTCCCAACAGAGGCAGGGTTCTGTGGGGAGTCATACCATTGCATGCTATACAATTTCTGTCTTCTGTCCAGAAAGTACCAGCTATCCAGTCATCGTGAAGGTCACAGATAATCTATACATACATTAAGATGCCCTCTGAATTCAGCTATTCTTCTCTTAGAAGCCAATTGCTAGGATAATTCCAGTATAGCTTCAAATAGTTATATTGCAAAGATCGTTCTCATGTGCCATACATGAATTATCCACAGTGCTATGGAAATATAAATAAAGGAACGATGCATTCTGGGAAAGCTGCTTGTTAAACATCTTCCTAGGTGTGGAGGAAAGATGAGGAAATGGGGCCAGCCATTGTTTGTGTCTTGTGTTAGGTATAGTTAGATCATTTATATGGACACAAATCTAGAGGTCTTTGTCCTGGTCACATGAATAAACAAGTTGTTTGCTAAAGAATACGATGATAATCTGTGACACATAAATACCACAGTGAGCCTATTGTCTCTTCTCTGTTAAGATTAATACTTGAGTATCTAGTCATTGCTGCCCCTCTGCCTCCAGTCAGAACTGTTTTCCTATTCTGTATCTAGTCTTGTGCCTTCCCTCAGTAGCGTCTGAGGTTTGTGTCCCAGTGCTACCATTTCCAGCTGTCACTGTCCATGTCTGCCCTAGTTCTTAAACATTCATACTAGAAATATGCGGAATGGATGGGTTCCTGGGTCCCCTGTGTGTGTCCCTGTGTATATTTGATGTGAAGTAAAGTTTGGAATTCAGACTGCCTGGAAGAAAATGGAGCCTTTGGCGACTGTACTTTCCCAGTGTGTAACAGGAAGTAGCTGCTACCGCCTCTGGTTCATAGATGCATATTTTTGTGTATAGCATGACTGCTTGCGCTTTGCAAGGGTTGAGCTCTGATTCTGAGCAAGGAGACTGCAGACTGCTCCAGGAGCTCCTTTCCTGTATTTCTGCAAGTCGGGCAGTAGATGGCAGTATGGTCCTTGCGAGAAACGCCCTTCCTTCTGCGCTGGGGCGCGGGCCTATCAGGGAGCGTGCGCTCATGTGGAGCGCCGTGATTGGACATCGCGGTGGGAGGGCCGTGAGGTGCTCGGGTCGGGTTCGCTGATTGGAGGAGGGAGGAGGGCCGATATGAGGCATTTGCTCCTGTGGCCCCCATTGGCGCCACTGCGGGTGTGGCGTTCTTGATTCCGCCCTCGGTCCCTGGAGAGGGATGCCTAGGGTCCTTGAGCATTAAAATGCTGCCTCTCTATTTTCTTGAAAGCTACTTGTTGCATTGCCTTGTGCATTCAAAAAGATGCACAGATCCATATGCAGTGAATTACCACAACGAGAGCACACCTGCATAGGAGCTGGACCGTTCTAAACGCTTTGGAGGCCGAGTTGTGCCTAGCTTTCTTCAGAGACGCCCGAAATTCTGATTTGTAACACTAGAAGATGCTTTATAAAAGCACTTTAGTACTTTACACGAGAAAGTGTAAAACAAGAAAGTAGAAAATGCTGTTAAGAACCCCCAGCACCTGCCGTCGGCTTTTAGCTGCTGTCAGCTTATGTCTGCTCTTCTTCCTAATCCTTTGAACTGTTTTGAAGCAGTCTCAGGAGGCGTGTGTGTGTGTGTGTGTGTGTGTGTGTGTGTGTGTGTGTGTGTGTGTTGTATATTTCAAAAAGATAAGATTTTTTTAAAAGCCATTGTTATATATAAAGTCGTTGCATAAATACATGAAATAACCAGCTTCTGCTATTTTTGTTTTTTGAGACCAGGTCTCACCTTACAACCTTTGCTAGTCAGGCAGGCCTTGAACTCAGAGATTCATCTGCCTCTGCCTTCCAAGCGCTGAGATTGAGTGTGTGCACCACTCACCTGACCAGTTTCTGGTATTCTTATAAACATATTTTATAATTCTATGCTTGAACAGGGACCCAGCTGAAGCACACAAATGCTGTTGTCCTTTCTCTTGACTCTTTAATACATTTTTTTTTTTGAAGAAACATGGGGTAAACCAGATTCAAATCAGTTCGATTTCATCTCTAGCCTATACCCCTCCTAAGATTGCCTTTTAAGTAAATCTGTCACTTAATTAT